TTGCCTTCCTATACTAGTCAATGATCAAAGAGACTGCAGAAATAAAAACAGTCTACAAGTCCTTCCTATATCTCTAGTGGCATTACAGACTAAATATGTTCAAGTCCTTCTTGACTAAAAATACAATTTGAAATACCTGACCTGTAAAATTCAACTTCTGTAGGCTATCGTAACTTGTCTATTTTAATAGATTTAAATCTTGTTTGTTGACAGAGCTGGCAGTTTGCTGTAACAGCCAAAAGACACACATAAAAGTAGCTGTAACGTTAATGAACATGAACATCAATGAAGGACTGAAAAACAACTTAAGTGGAACGGACAGATCCCATTTGAATTTGAAAATTGAAATTTTTAATCTGATTATCCTCCAGAGAAACAACAGCGTGACAAGTTACTACCTAGCAAATAATCAATACTGAAAATAACACCCACAATGCAATATTACTTGACATGAGCAGAAAACACTAATTACATTTAGTCTTTCATCTCAAAGCATGAAAAAAACAAACAACTTCTTATGTGAAACGTTTGTAAAAACCCTTGACATTTTCCGTTAAAGAAAGTTTTAGGTCATGTAATGTCACTGACAGGTAAAAAAGCAAGAGTTACCTGAGCTGGTAATTGCCTTCCAAACTGTTGCTCAGAAACAACAGGAAGAACAAAATATTCACTACAATATAACAGCATTACCTGTATCAAATTCCATTAGGAACTGCCTGGTTAAGTTCATTTTTTAGATACCAAAGGTTATTGGCCGACTGAAATGTTCACCTGAGGGGACCTATGAAGAGTTTTTCAGATCCTCCTTCAGACAGGTATCAAATCAGAGCAGGTATCGAATTAGATCTGATTTCAATGAACTTGCAATAAAAAAGTTCATCAAAATTTCAACATCTTCCCAAATTGCAACAACTAGGGACTGAGGAAAGGGTTCCAGGGAGAAGGGGTTCCAGGGAAAAGGGGTTCAAGGGAAAAGGGATTCAAGGGAAAGGGGGCAGGGGGGTTCCAGGGAAAAGGGTTTCAAGGGAGAAGGGGTTCCAGAGAGAAGGGGGTCCAGGGAGAAAGGGTTCCAAGGAGAAGGGGTTCCAGGGTGAAGGAACTCCAGGGAGTAGGGGATCCAGAGAGAAGGGGTTTCAGGAAGAAAGGATCCCAGGGAGAAGGTGTTCCAGGAAAAAGGTGGATTCCAGGGAGAAGGGGTTCAAGGGAAAAGGGGTTCCAGGGAAAGCGGGCAGGGGGGTTCCAGGGAAAAGGGTTTCAAGGGAAAAGGGGTTCCAGAGAGAAGGGGGTCCGGGGAGAAAGGGTTCCAAGGAGAAGGGGTTCCAGGGTGAAGGAACTCCAGGGAGTAGGGGATCCAGAGAGAAGGGGTTTCAGGAAGAAAGGATCCCAGGGAGAAGGTGTTCCAGGAAAAAGGTGGATTCCAGGGAGAAGGGGTTCAAGGGAAAAGGGGTTCCAGGGAAAGCGGGCAGGGGGGTTCCAGGGAGAAGGTGTTCCAGGGAAAAGGGTTTCAAGGGAGAAGGGGTCCCAGAGAGAAGGGGGTCCAGGGAGAAGGGGTTCCAAGGAGAAGGGGCTCCAGGGAGTAGGGGTTCCAAGGAGAAGGGGGTCCAGGGAGAAGGGGTTCCAAGGAGAAGGGGGTCCAGGGAGAAGGGGTTCCAAGGAGAAGGGGTTTCAGGAAGAAAGGATCCCAGGGAGAAGGGGTTCCAGGGTGAAGGGGCTCCAGGGAGTAGGGGTTCCAGGGAGAAGGGGTTTCAGGAAGAAAGGATCCCAGGGAGAAGGGGTTCAAGGGAAAAGGGGTTCCAGGGAAAGCGGGCAGGGGGGTTCCAGGGAGAAGGTGTTCCAGGGAAAAGGGTTTCAAGGGAGAAGGGGTCCCAGAGAGAAGGGGGTCCAGGGAGAAGGGGTCCCAGGGAGAAGGGGTTCTAGGGAGAAGGGGTTCCAGGAAGAAGGGGTTTCAGGAAACGATCCCAGGGAGAAGGGGTTCTAGGGAGAAGGGGTTCCAGGAAGAAGGGGTTTCAGGAAACGGTTCCAGGGTGAATGGGTGCCAAGGAAAAGGGGTTCCAGGGAGAAGGGGTTCTAGGGAGAAGGGGTTCCAGGAAGAAGGGGTTTCAGGAAGAAGGGGTTTCAGGAAACGGTTCCAGGGTGAATGGGTGCCAGGGAGAAGGGGTTCCGGGGAGAAGGGGTTCCAGGGAGAAGGGGTTCTAGGGAGAAGGGGTTCTAGGAAGAAGGGGTTTCAGGAAACGGTTCCAGGGTGAATGGGTGCCAAGGAAAAGGGGTTCCAGGGAGAAGGGGTTCTAGGGAGAAGGGGTTCCAGGAAGAAGGGGTTTCAGGAAGAAGGGGTTTCAGGAAACGGTTCCAGGGTGAATGGGTGCCAGGGAGAAGGGGTTCCAGGGAGAAGGGGTTTCAGGGAGAAGGGGTTCTAGGGAGAAGGGGTTTCAGGAAACGGTCCCAGGGAGAAGGGGTTCTAGGGAGAAGGGGTTGCAGGAAGAAGGGGTTGCAGGAAACGGTTCCAGGGTGAATGGGTGCCAGGGAGAAGGGGTTCCAGGGAGAAGGGGTTCTAGGGAGAAGGGGTTTCAGGAAACGGTCCCAGGGAGAAGGGGTTCTAGGGAGAAGGGGTTCCAGGAAGAAGGGGTTTCAGGAAATGGTTCCAGGGTGAATGGGTGCCAGGGAGAAGGGGTTCTAGGGAGAAGGGGTTCCAGGGAGTAGGGGTTTCAGGGAGTAGGGGTTCCAGGAAGAAGGGGTTTCAGGAAGTGGTTCCAGGGTGAATGGGTCCCCATGAAAGTAAAGAGTAATGTGTGTCCAGCTGAATATGGACTGCTGCTCATAGTATCAACCACTGGTTTAGGGATAGCCCAAACTATCATTTAGAATCTGCAGCAATAAAGCTGGAATGATGCAGATAGCGATGTCAACAACCTTCTAACAAATGGGGCAACTCATCAATGGCTCAATGAGAGATTCCTATGCACATGATAAGTGCCGGGAATAAATTGAGAGTTTATCACAGGTCGCTGGTTATAATCAGTTTGTTGCAAGCAATCAATACTAGATCATTATACCATGAGTGGTTCAAACTGGCAGAGGTCTCACTGCTGTGGTGCACAATGATCACCGAGTGATGTGGACGCAGGAAGGGAAAGCAGAACAAAGTTTCCGTCACAGTTATTCTCCCACTAATGGTCTGAATCTCATACTTCATCAAGCATTTGATCATTTTCTTCTTCAAACCGTGGCAATGATAACGTATTGATTGACCAACTAGCCTCCACACTCAAGAGTCATCCCCCTCCCCATGTAGACCTCCTCCCTACAGTTCACTGTGTCACAATCATGCAGTGTCAAGAATTAAGAGAAGTTTACGCTCCATGAATCCTATCAAATGGAATTCATAAAAATTTATTGTGATTCCATGGGAGTCGATTAGACCAAAGATATAGATGTGTGTGTTGAAGGAAATGTGTCCTTGACAAAAATGACTTCTATGGTTATTATTTTCATTTTTCAAATTTATCATCACATATACCTTCAGCGAAGGGAAATACAAAAATATAAATATCTTACATGACATACTTTATTTCAGTTGGTTCATGGAATTTTACGAAAATATATTTAGTTTGGTTGGGGATGGGTGAAATTCTGACATGACACCTGTTTTTGGACTTTGCCATCATAAATACCGTAACAAAATAAAACGATGCAACACAATTACTCTCTGGGCCCTGCATATTTAATACATTGAATTGCATTTTAAAATACAAGGAGGAGTGAGACATGCAAGTTTTGACGGTAAAGTAGTTTCATTACTGTGCAGTAAGATTCTAGAATTTTTTTGGTTATTCTTTTATTTGTTTATTTGGGTTGACTGTGATGAAATATAAAATAAAATGTTTAAATGTTAATTTTGTTTTTGGGTCGGCAGATCCATAAACAAAGTTAAAAATGGAAAAGAAGCCATACAGTGAGATAGACAGTAATGAGTGACATGCTGGTACACTCACCATGCAGGGACACATCTATATACGGTAAACTGTGTTTATAACGAAACACGCTTATAATGACCCGATCGATATAACAAACTGTCTTTCAGGCCCGGCCTTTATAATAAACTACGGTTATAATGAACTTAAATTAAGGGTCCCTTTGAGTTCGTTATAACCGTAGTTTACTGTACATTGTTCTGGCCTTAAGTTCAAGGCTAGGACATGCAGAAATTCTGCCACATTAATAACCTTTCTGACTTCTGCTGACAGCTGTATCTTGGCAACATGAAATTATCCGACTGACCAATGGCACATCTCATTTAAGTATTTCAAAACAAAAATACTCGTCATTTGGAATTTCTTTTATCCAACTTGAACAAATTCAAAGACGTCTTGTTATCAGTTGAATATGCTCAATCCTGCAGAGTAGTTGATGACTATCAAGCACATTGTCTTACCACGTGTTGTAATTTGTCGAACAAAACAATATCAAACAAAAACAGAGAAAATTCAAACAAAGGGTATTTAATAAACACAATTTCAATCATTTCCAAGAGAAGTACAAATTAAAATATCAAATCGTATAGAAATACCTCGGAATAAAAGGAATGCTGCTTTTGACAACAACAAAAAAGGTGCTATTACCAGAACAATTTTCTTTGTAATATTCGTCTAATTTAAGTAATAAAATTAATTTAGTTGAACTTCACTTGAAACATAAACTTCCTGAGGCCTCTGTGGCAGGAGACCTGGCTGTGTATCAAGACCGATTAGACCGGGTAGATCTGCAGTGTAATTTTTTTCTGCGCTTGATGTTCAAATTTTTTTTCTCCAAAATACTGAATCCGCTAAAGGGGATGCGCTTTATACATGGGTGCGCACTATACTCAAGAAAATATGGTAATCTTGATTAAAGATTAACATAATCACAAGTAACTGAAAGAAATACATCACAATGCTTTCACATTATCATGCAAACAAAAGCACAAATATTACAAAGATCTCTCAAAATAATGAAACTGGACTCACCGGACAAGTTCTATGACTTTTTCTCGAGGAGCCTTGCGCACATCTTCTCCATTAATCCTGAGAATCTGATCTCCGGAGAGAAGTTTGTCGACGCTCGGTCCACCTGTTGGGACGAGACACAAATGTCAACACAGCAGATACAAGGTTCGGGCAAGTCAGGGGAGTGTTAATGAGCGACCCAGGTGAATCTCAGGTGTGCACATACCTGCACCAATGTGCAAGGTCAAGATTTGCGACAATCAGCTGTCAGGGTAAATATATGACTTTAATTCTTTCCAGTTTACACCTGTCAATGAAGAAAAAAAGCAGCATTCTTATATTCAAAATATTCAGTTTCAAAAGTAATCATTCAAATTTTGGACACATCCAACTAATATGACTGTTTCCTGAAAACATATATCACTTCAATAGGCAGCAGTTGTTCCGAGTTAATAGTTATTTGTAATGCCAATTCATGAACAGCTTCATCACCCGAGACTCTAAAACAACAGCCATCAATCAATCTCAATATCACATCAGTCAAGTTGAAAACCAAAATAAACATAGCATGGAAATAGTAAATAGATAATATGATTGTAAAATCCCATTAGAAATCAAATTCTGAACTTTCTTACCAAAATAAAGTGATGGTAAAAGCACTGATGAATTGCAGATGTGCTTCTGAAATCTGATTACTTAATCTACGACAGGTCTGCCACAGCGTACGTAATCTGATTCAACATGTATGCCCCGTGAATCCTCCATGGGGATTGAATGGGATAGACATTAAATGGATTGGACGATTTCACAGAACTTTATCATGACAATAGGCATCTAAATCACTTAATATTGACAAATACTGAAATAACTGAAGCATTGTAAAAACATTAGGATTGAGTACAAAACAATCCCTGTGCGAGGCTCCTTGAAGTTGTTCCTGTTCTGCAGGGACTTCAGTGCAATGTGTTTCTCCTCCCACATCATAACTCACTCTGATGCCTCCTGATTGGGAAACCTGATGCTTTCTTTAAACTGTCTTCAAATACACACTTGGTAAGTCCAAACACAACAGGGTCAAGCCTTCTGTTGCACAGTGGACATTGAGAGTCTCACCCATGTGTCTTTTGATATCAAATATATCAACACAAGTCAATAAACTTTTAAACCTCCGACGCTTCCCGAAGAGCTTTCAAATTTCAAGTGTTGAAATGTTTGATATCGAAAGACAGGATGGTGAGATTATATTTATCATCCAAAAGCATTCTTCCACCCTTTTAAGTTTGTATACAGTAATAGTTTGTTGTTTGTTTGTTTGTTGTTTAACGCCGCAGTCTGCAATATTCCAGCTTTATGACAGCGGTCTGTAAATAATTGTGCCTGGACCGGACAATCTAGTGATTGACATCATGAGCATTGATACACACATTTGGGATCGATGACATGCATCAACCAAGTACGGTAATAACCAGTGTCCTGAGTATAATAAATATACACATAAACAGCTTCAGTGGCTGAGAGATTAGTGATGTCATTTGATTGTGGCATCATGGTAACCGCTGACATCACAATTTTGCAAAGTATTGTGGTGCAATTTCATTGCAGCAATATGTCCAGGGAGATATCGTTTAATCTCACCCAAGCAATATCTCCTGTGGAAGCCAGTCTGGATGATAAATATATTGTCCCAGCATCACGTTGACAAAATATGTCATCCTTTCCCTCCAACTCATCCATCTTGACTTCTATTTCAACCGAACCTCAGTCTTTTATTTTCATTTAAACAAACAATAATCTTATTGTATGATTAAGTACAATATTGCCCCCTTTTCTAAATGTGGTTTTGGTTTTTGCATACAATGTTGCATACACAATGTATCCTAGGAAAAGAAAGAGTTGTAAGCAATACGGAGCTATATTTCTTAGAGTTATGGAGTTCCAGAACCAGCTACTTTGTTCTTTGTTTGTTTGTTGTCAGACGCTGCACTTGGCTTTAGTCCAGCTATATGATGGCAGTCTGTACATTATTGAGTGTGGACAGACAATCCAGTGATTGACATCATGAGCATCAATCCACGCAATTGGGATCGATGACATGCATCAACCAAGTCAGCGAATCCCACTAGGTACTAGTGAGTGTGATTTCGGTCACAATAGGTGCCAAGTAACCAGGATTGTGGTATGATGATTAAAGATGTATGACGTTTTAATGGATGACCTGACTTATTTGTGTTACAGTGCCCACTCACTCACTTGCCCACCCACTCACCCACCTACCTACCCACTCACTCACTCACACACTCACTCACCTACCGGCCTGTCATTAGACCAGCCATACACCATTGTTGTTTCTTTACTATCAACCACAACAAACATTACCAAATGTGGAACCTTGCAAGGTTTTACTGAAACATTATTCACCCAATCAAGAAGGACCCTTTAAGTTAGGCTTTCCTTCTTATAACTTCTCCAAGTTTCTTATGAATCTGATCACATCATCTCAGGAAGATTCCTTCACGTGTAAAACCACTTATTAGGTACATCAAATCGGCAGATTTTTTAAGCCCTAAGCATACAGATGATAGGTCAATAATTGCATCATTTTACCATGTAATTGGGAAGACATTTACCACAAAATGATCAGCAAAACTCATCCCCAGGGAAAAAGTGACATTTGAAGCACTGTTTAAGTAACAATCACTCCTGTAAGGACATCCAACACCTTGATGTCCTCCTGTACTAACGACCCCATCACGGTAATGAAGTCACTACATGTCCGGCAGAGACTCCTTCAGCTAAACTGGGCAACAATTTTCAAGCAGTATATGAGCAACCTCCTTGGTGTTTGAAAAAGTCAGATGAACAAGACTGCAAGGGTTTCTTAAAATGAGACATACACCACCAAGGCAGAAACATTTTAGATGATTATATGCAAGTATCGAGTCTTCCTGGGGGTCCAGGTGAAAACAGTACAGGTCTCGTTCTGACATGACAAATTCTTGCGCAGACAATCACACCATGGCTTTCTGGTTGGTCATGTGAAACCCTCGTACAGACAACCACAGCAAGGCTTTCTGGTTGGTCTTGTGAAACTCTTGTGCAGACAACCACAGCATGGCTTTCTGGTTGGTCTTGTGAAACCCTTGTGCAGACAACCACAGCAAGGCTTTCTGGTTGGTCTTGTGAAAAACTCATGCAGACAACCACAGCATGGCTTTCTGGTTGGTCTTGTGAAAAACTCATGCAGACAACCACAGCATGGCTTTCTGGTTGGTCTTGTGAAAAACTCATGCAGACAACCACAGCATGGCTTTCTGGTTGGTCTTGTGAAACCCTTGTGCAACCACAGTATGGCTTTCTGGTTGGTCTTGTGAAAAACACATGCAGACAACCACAGCAAGGCTTTCTGGTTGGTCTTGTGAAACCCTTGTGCAGACAACCACAACATGGCTTTCTGGTTGGTCTTGTGAAACCCTCGTACAGACAACCACAGCAAGGCTTTCTGGTTGGTCTTGTGAAACCCTCATACAGACAATCACAGCAAGGCTTTCTGGTTGGTCTTGTGAAACCCTTGTGCAGACAAGTCATTGTAAATTAAATCTCTTAACTATTGGGGCTAAAAATCTCTCAGACAGCCAAACATTTCTCCTCACTACAGAAAACAGTAATATCCTGTTGACACACACGACCTTCTTTCTTGCTGACACTTTTTCTTGCTGGGTTAATCTTGCTGCTGGTAGCTAAGAGCTATACAATATTGGCCAATTCATGCTATCAAGGATGTATACCACATATTGCTCCTGGTTTTAGCCAACTTTGATGGCAAATCTTGCCTTGGGTCATCACTGATAAATGTAGGTAATTGTGACATGAACGGCAAATCCAAGACTGGCCATGTGATTGGCAGTAGGAGATCAAAGATACAGCCACAGACATGTGCAACACGGTGTGATAAAAGGGACATCAAATATACAGTTTAATCAAACTATCATATCGCAATATTTGGGGAAAGCAGAGATGACAGACATGCTGGCCTCTTTAATTCTTCGTCAGAATCCACATAGATGTAATTAGCCTGGCAATCTCGAGCCTCAAAATAGTCCTATCTTCACTGTAAGTGGGTACAGAGTCTGGCGGAGGACAGTAGCGGCATATGCTTCTTGCTGGTTCATACAGGAGATCCCGAACACTTCATCCTCATCTTAATCATTCATTCATTGTCCATCAAAATTCAATGAACATTTTAATGACATTTTATTAAAAGATATGAAATGGAGGAAGAGGTTTGATCAAAATAAAACAAGAGTTTGCCACTAACATGGCTATATCCCCCACCCCTGTTGCAGAATTTATGACATAATTAAATCTAAACAAACCCTAACCTTTTTTAACCGAGGTGGAACTTGTCATGGAAATTGTAAAAAAAAAGAAGAGTTTGGAACCTAAGTCCATCTTGTTGCCATGGAAACGTAAAAAATAAAAATTTCTAAAATTTCGAAATGTCAAAAGGCACCAATTCAGCATGTACCTGACAAAGATGCAAAGTTTCATGACAAAATATTGAATGGTTTATGAGTTATGCTCCGGAAACGAACCCTACCCTCACAGAACCTAAGTCAATCTTGTTGCCATGGAAACATAAAAAATAAAAAAATTCTAAAATTTCTTAATAGCAAAAGGCACCAGTTCAGCATGTACCTGACAGACCTGCAAAGTTTTTTGAAAAAATATTGAACGGTTTATGAGTTATGCTCCGGAAACGAAATATGACGGACGGACGGACGGACAGACAGACAGACAGAGCCCGTTTCTATATCCCCCGCCAACTTTGTTGGGCTGGGGATAATAATATAGCTGTCAATATGATAGTGAGTTAGTGAGTTTGGCTTATGCCACATTGAACATTATGTCATGCAAGTCAGCTTGATGTTGGAGGAAAGCCTGAAGGGATGCAGGTCTTAAACATTTACCACATTTACCCAAAGGGGCATTCATTTTTGTATTATTTTATTTCCAAAAAATTAGGCCTAAAATCCAATGTAGGTGGTCTACATTAGTAGTGCTACTAATAAATGAAAAAAACCAAACATGGCAAGATACCAAAAGGTAATTGAATGTTTTTAAGTT